GCGAGCTTTGAGCGCTTTAAGAACCATCACAACTAGCAAAACCCCAACAGAACTCAGCTCGCACAGGTGGAGGGCACCGGCAGAGGTAGAGGTACAGGTACAGCTGCAGGTAGAGGTACAGGTACGTTTGTACGTACGCTTGACTAAGTGCGTTCGGTACAGCTGAGGGTACAGGTACAACTCCAAAAAGTTTTATCAGCTCACCATCGTCATTTTCATCATCATCGTTGTCATTATCGCCATCAACCTCATCATCATCATCATTCCATCAAAATCAGCCAATCATCAGCCTCAGAAAGTAGCGCCTGTTAATGACAGAGCAAGAGAGCGGCAGAGAGTGAGCGAGCATGTAGCGTGAGCGTGAGCGAGAACGAAAGAATGGAAGGAGCAGGGTGCAAGGGAGCGAGGTAGCTAGAGCGCGCATATAACGGTTGTTCTGCAAACAACTGTGATTAGGATTATGCGAGGTGTTTTAACAAATCGGAACGTGACGCATTTCCGCTCAACTTAGAATTACCCTCGTTTTCCGTTGAGAAATGCGCGGGTCTGCTCGACCAAGAGTTACCCTGTGCACTCAAGTCTTAAGCAATCGTACATACACACACCTGTTTGTTTGTTTGTTTAGCTGGCTTTAAGTAGAAATGCAGACATGCACGACTAAGAGCTACCCTCTATGAAATTTAACACAGACATTTGAGCTCAAATAAGTACGCGCATATGATTCGCTCAACTAAGAGTTATGTGTTGAATGATAATGTGATAGACGTTTGGATACCCTGTAGACTTATCAAGCCTACATTACCAAGCACAGCATATTTCAGTGTAATTGATACACGGCTCGACTTTGAGATACCCCGCATCCAATTGTAAAGCATATGTATGGATATGTATTATCTAAATGTCAAGAGCAGGTAATGCTCGATAATAAGTATCCCTATTCGGGACAACATGCACCCACGTACCTCAGCATAGCTTATTTGAAAATAATGAGTAGCCATGCGCGACTATGAGATTCCCTGTACTCAAGTTTTGTTTGCCCAAAACACTTTCATACTTATGCATAGCCTCTGATATTATTTAAATGAATTGCTCGACTATGGGATACTCTGTACTAAAATAACATTAACATTCGTAGTTGGATATATGTATGTACAACGATGGTCAATCGGGAAACATGCTAAACTACGACATACCCTGCACTCACACATATTTTTACTGAATCTGGTGTTAACGCTTATAATGCCTATAGTATCGTATTGTTGTCTTTTCGTTTAGAGGGTATCAATCTTCACTAGACGTCAGAGACATTATCAAACCAATTCGCCGATAAATATTATGCAGCTGTAAATACCCAGACATACCAACATTAGAATTCGATTTGTTACTTCCCCATGGACGACAGCAATAATCAAGTTATCTTGAAGCAGTCATATCCATGAAAGAGAACCCGACTGCAGACAAACGCAATTCATGTTCGCAAGAAGTTGATATCAAGTTTTATAAGCATTGTAAACTTGACCTTTGCCACGTCTATCATGAAGTTCTCACACAATGGAGGTAACTTTTTAGGGTGTTTCGAAGTATTAGTAAAAGTGTACGTTTATGTATATATGGCAATGACAACTAGAAAAAAAAATCTAAAAAAAGGCTTGGAAGTGCCTTCCTACAAAAGCTTTAATTCCCTCCGATAGAATACAGAAATATTTGGCATTATAAAACTAATTTTTCCATTAATTCTTTCTAACAAACTCTATATGATATTGTAATCATATGTTGATTTACAGATAATGTTAAAATAGTTACAATATTGAAATGATGTAGTTTTCAAATGTCATATCTCCGTGTGGAGATAAAACGATATAATCGCTATAAAATGATATAATATCGCGATGATCTCCGCGCGGAATATATGTCGACGTATGCATCTGTGGATCTGTAGATCGGCGCAGTTATGTCGCTATAAAACGGCATAATCTCGCCATAATCAACGTCAAAGAAAAGCGTCATCATTCCGCAGGCAATGTAAATGTACTGCCATAATGTTACGGCAATGTTAACATTACAGCAGTATTAACAGCGTCACTTTAACATTTCGAAAAGGGAACACACAAGAAACCAAATATATAACAAGCTATATGTATAGATTTTCAGTAGTTTTTATTTTTAATATAGTTGCTTTAATTTATATATTTAGTTAATAGCTAAGTTTTGTAAATTATTTTCACTTGAATATGTCTATAAATTAATTCTTAATTGTATTTATCGTCTCAGCATTACTAAATTAAAGAACGAAAAAAAAAATAATATAGAATAGATAATAACACGATAACTAGATGTTAAATTTAGTTTTAATATGTGCTCTACATCAAGTTATTTTGCATGTCAGTATGTGGGTGTGTAGATGCATATTGGTGTGGGTGTGGGTGTGGGTGTGGGTGTTGGTGTGGGTGTTGGTGTGGGTGTTGGTGTGGGTGTATTTATGCTTGTGTCAGTTAATCTGTTATCAACAATTGTACAAGTGAACAATTTTTTACATCGAGAAAATAAAACACTTAAAAAAAATAGAACGTTGACAACTTGCGTATAATTATAATTATAACAATAATCATAATCATAATCATAAGCATAATCATAATAATAATAATCATAAGTAATATGTAATATGTAATTTATATGCTACATATAAGTATGTATGCTATATATGCTAGATAATAAGTATTATTTTATATTCAAAATCAGACAATGAAAACAATCATTATAAAGCGCCGCACTCTTTACAATTCTACAAAAATTTGCACTACAATTTTTTTTGTTGCATTGTTTTTTTTTTTTGTTGTGTCACATTTTTTGATTTTTTTCGGTTTTTTTTTTTTGTTGTATTTTGCGTGAGCGAATTAAGTGCAGGAAAAATGAAGGGAAAATAAAAAAAATTATAAATTAAACGGGGAGAATAACAAAATTAATTAAAAAATAATATTAAGAACAAAATTACACGCCAAGTCTTATAAGTGGACATATATAGATATATGTATATAGATAGGTATATAAATATACATATTTACGCATATATAATTATCATCACTTGTACGTTGTTTTTGTTTTTGTTTTGGTTTTTTATCAATTAATTAAAATTAATTAGCCTTTGGGCAAACGAATTTCTTGCAATTAAAATATAAGAATCAGTTAATAAATATATAGCGTGTTGTGTGTGTGTGTGTGTGTGTGTGTGTGTGTGTGGGGGTGGGTATGTATGATACGATATACACATACATATACATATTTTGTTATTGTTTTCTGCGATAGAGACACATACATATTCAACTCATAGCAAATCTTTGTTTTTTCTTTGTGAACTTTACATATACATATGGAGCTGTTTAGCTGATTTTCCTCCGCTTTTTCTGCTTGTTTTTCTTTTGTTATCTTAGCTGAGAGAAATTATTTTGTTTTTTTTCTCTTTGAAATACATATACAAAAGGCATGATATTTAACTCAAATTTAGTTTTTTTTTTCCTTTTCCCTTTCTTTGTTTTTTTATTTTTTTTTTGTTATAAAAAAAACCCTTTGGCTCTGCGCAGAGAGCAGAGTTTAAGATAAGCAATTATCATTTCTTTTACTCTGTATATACCCTACACATATATATATATATATATATATATATATTATAGTAGACACTTGTTGCTGTCACTTGTGTCAAATTGCTTTTAATGATTGTTATTGTTGTTGCTGTTTGTATTTACATAAAAGTGCCTGAAACATTTAATTATAGCGCGACTTTCTCGGTTTTGGGGGGAAGCTCTTAACAAATGGCACACACGCATTTTTTTGTGTATTTTGTTATATTTTTTTTTTTTTGTTTAGAGAGTAAATTGGGATTAACTGTTCACATAATGGCATGCATATGCATATATATTTCTTGTATCCTTTAACGAATTTCTGCCGATTTGTTTGTTGTGTTGGTTCAGTTTTTGTTTCTTTTTGCAAGGGGCTTTTATCTAACCTGCCCTTTTTTTTTGTATGATTTTCTTTTTTGTCGCTTTTTGTTTAAAAAATAATACACATTCTTGAAATATGATGCTTGTACTATTCGTGGATTGAGTAAAATGATAAATCAAAATCATAAATAAAATTATTGCTATATATGACTGAGCCAAATATATTTCTATTTTGAAGTGAATATACTTTGGGGAAAAAGAAGAATGAAAAAACTGTTGAATTATATACAATTGACAAGATTTGTTAAAATGAACAACTTTCTGCGCTTTATGCTATTTGGGAGAGTTACTTTTAATATATCATATAATATACTCCTCATATAAAGTATTTTTGTCGAAATTTTGACTTTTTTCTTTATATTTATATATTAGAAAAAACCAAAAAAAAAAAAAAAATAAACTATTTACACTAAGTATTACTTATTATCTGAGTATGGTAATATCTTAAGCGTTTCGTTGGTTGTGGGTGTATGTGTGTGTGTGTGGATGTGGGTATGAGTGTGTGTTAGTGATCTGTGTGTGCGTGTGTGTGTGTGTGTAGCCCAAGATTTTTTGTTTTTTGTTTTTTTCCAGTGCAAAATCCTTAACATACACAGCCGACCAAACTCAGCGAACTCGAAACCCCCCTTAGGACTATAAACATTTTAACTAATCTAGATAGTTAGTTTAGTTTAGTTTAGTTAGTGGCTGCCTATATGCGGAGATCAGCTATGGATCCTCAACAAACAAATCGAAAGAGGGCATTGCAATTTTTGTTTTTCTTTTTTCTATATGATCATCGATATGATGTCCTACACATATATATATATATATATATATATATATGCATGTATGTTATGTGGCTGTGTGTAGAGGTGTGTGTGTGTGTGTGTGTGTTACTTGTCTGTATATGCATGTGTATGTTTTGTATTTATACATAAATACGGGCTCAAGGCTCAGTCGCGTTCTACAACTTTTTGTTTTGCTTTGTTTTGTTTTGTTTTTCTTGTTATCAATTTGTTGGGACTTTAACTTTAAGCTGCTGATTAAAGTTGTTGTTGCTGTTGCTGCTGCTGCTGCTGCTGCTGCTGTTGATGCTGTTGTTATTGTTGTAGCTACTAAAATTGATGTTTAAATTTCCTTGTTTGTTGTTCATGAAGGCTGTTAGTCACGCATCTCGACCCACTTAGCGAGATTTCTGGCGACAAGTTCCTTATTGATAAAAATAACATTCTGCAAGGGGATAAATCATATTGATTAGTAAGAATGATTGATAGGAAAATCAATATATATTCACTATATATACTTCAACAAAGGAGCATATAACTATTAAAAATCTCGCAATTGAACTAAATACATAGCTTACTCTACAAACAACTATAGAGGCAGCTTTATATTCCATACATATCGATTTACATTTATCGATAACGATGCATTTATCGCGCTTGACAGTAGCTTTAACTGTTCTGACACACGAGCGAGATGCAAGAGAAACTGTGCACTCTCTCACTCCCCTCTCTTCTCGTCGCTCTTCTCTCACACAACAAGCTTTTATGCACTCGCTCGTGCCGTCTCTGTCATTGCCATGCTGTCAATACTTACATTTGGACCTAGAGAAGCAAATAAATAGATTTCTGGTATATTATGGCTATTGTAGCCGGCGACTTGTGCTTGCAAGACAATGCCTTTGGTTAATTTGTTGAGGATATCAGCCGCATCGGTCGACCAGGTGTCATCTACGAAAAAAAAATACAAATAAAAAGCAATACATGAGTAACAATTGAATAATATAACGATTAGAGAATGGCTTACCGATTGGCTCGATGTTGGACAGTATGCATTCGGTTGCCTGGAATGGCAGCGTCATAAAGTCCGTGCGTATTTGACGCAATTCGCTAAAGCTGACATTCATATAGCCGCCAAAGTCCAAGAATTTGACCAGACAGCGCTCCTCATCGTCGGCATCGCTATCACAAATTTGTACGCGATACCAAAACCCATTGATGGGCATAACACAAACGGCACTGATCTCAATTCCCGGCAACTTGGGCGCATCCATTGTGGAGTAACTGTCCAGCATGCCCTTCTGTAGCGCATGCAGGGCTGGGTGCGATGGATGCAGCGGATGCTGTACGAACACATGATCGCCAGAGAGCACGGCGCTGACCAGAACATCATTGTTGATGCCTTCGATCAGATTTAGCTGTAAATTGTCAACAAGAGTCAGTTTAAAATTCAATAAAATGAACATTTTCAAATATCGATTAATAATCGATATTTGGGCGTATGCTTTGGCTTGACTGTACTGCATTGATAAGTCAACATTTTTGCTATTCGGGTACGGATTCTTGGCAAATTTAAATCGATTTATCGTTCTGCATTACTATTGAAATTATTGATCGATCGATTTGCTAACTGAGCGATATGCAAGTACATATTGTGAGATTTTAATACTTTATTGGTTATTGGTTGATTTGATTATTTTTGAATTTCTATCGTTTTTATCGATATATCGTTCAGTATCGTTAATGTTTTGCATGCACATAAAGCGATCTTTTCGCAAAAGTGCAATATTCCGATTAAGGATACATTATCGATCTATCGAGCATCTATAGAGCATATACAACTAAGTATGTATGCAAATGAAAATAACCGTACATACAATTCTCCCTATAGTTTACACATGGAGATACAGATACAATTAAAAATATAGAGATACAGATACAGTGTCCGGCAAGAATTTGACTGGACAGGCTGGCACTCACTTGTAGGCTATGGAGGCTTTCAGTCGAAAGAGGAACTATGGATTGCGGAAGCGCATAGTGAATTCTCTGCATTGTGAAATTTGGATAGCGTCTGGCTGGCAAACGCTGGCGTATCATGGCCAGCGCGGCATCGATCTCGTTCTCGGTGCCCTCAATGGTGCAAATGCGCAGTTTGCCCGACGAATAACGATTCTTGCTCAGTCCCACATTCGCCAAGGTTTTGGCCTTGATTTGATTGATGAACGAACGCTTCCGTCCATACAGCTGGCCAATCAGAACATTTGGAAAGAAGAAACGATACGAGGTCTTTACACGTGTCGTCGCCTCTGAACGCGGCAGGCTGGAACCTTTACCGGAATCCCCGGATTGTACACTGCAAATGCTTAGCGATGGACTGGCCGCATCCACATTGCGTTTCTGGTTGCCATTGGCTGCATCGGCTGCATCGGCTGCGACTGCGGCAGTCGCACTCACGTCCACATCCCCATCTTTGGACACAATTGTCTGTTCAACAGCTGAATTATTCTCCTCAGTCTGTTTGATGTGCGCGGCATTAGCAGTGCCTTCTGATTGTGTCTGTGGCTTTGGCTGCTCCACAACAGCGGATGTGGCAACTGGAGCTGGAGCTGGAGCTGCAGCTGCAGCTGGTGGAGTAGCTGTTGTTAATGTATCCAGCTTTTTGTCCGCATTGATCGGCTCACAGTTGTTATTCTGTTCGCACTCCTTGGTGTATTTGCTCTCGAGAAATGAATTCTCTGGCGATATTTTTGGTGTACGCGTAGCCTTAATGACAACTGGCTCCTCGGCCTTTTTGTTTGCCTTGCGATTGTAGAACGTGACGCGATTATTTACTGAATCGGGCAAATCTCTGGGCGATGACAGATTCTCAAAGTCCTCATCAATGGAACAGAGTTTCTTGTGCTCCGCATCCTGTATCTTTGATTTTAACATTTCCGAATCAATCTGCTGCTGCTGATGCTTGCCCGGCGATGCGCGTCCATTGCTCTGTATTGTGATTGGTGCCGATTTCCCATATAGCATTGTATTTGGACTCTCCTTCTCGTCGACATTGATCATAAAACCGCCACCTCCGCCTCCGCCGCCGCCGCTGCCGCTGCCGACGCTTATGTTCATCGATTTGGTTGCATTTGCTGTTCCGTTCCCATTGCCAGTGGGCAGTTTGCCATTAAGCGACTGCACACCGTTCACTTTGCGCTGTGTTATCCCGGGCTCGGCGGCCTCTTTAACCGGCTTTCCATTGGCTACGGCGTTTGCATCGTCATCGTTTTTATCTACACGATTTTTATTTCTACGCCGAAACCAAAAGACGCCGAGTATAAATGCTACACCGGGCAGTGACAGATAGAGTAGAGGACGACCGGATACCATTTTCGCTGAATATTGGAGAATCTGCAAGTGGGGGAAAATAAACAGAAATTACCTATTAAAAATCTGTGATAGGAATAGAGTATTCAAAATGATGACTATTCATATCTCTACGGAGCATAGCTTTACTAAAACGTAACGATTCAAAACGTTTAAGGACGCTGCACAAAGCAAAATCGAAAAGAAAATGCTCTCCTCCCAAATGTGCAAACGCAAGAGAGAGAGAGAGAGTGACTACATACATATAAATATGTTCAATGGGAGTCGCAATATAAAAATAACGTAAGGGAAAAACAAAAATAAATAACGCGAACGAAGAACGCAAAACAGAGACAAACTGAGAAGTGAGAAGAGGGCATATATAAGCCTTAAAAATCGCTTAGGTAAGAGAAGAAAGTGCTCTTCAAACAGCTCGAAACATTTAAGGATGTGGCACACAAAAGAACAGAAACAAATGCTCTCACAGAAGAGTAAGCAAAAAAAAAAAAACCAATTACAATGGCAAGCACACATGTGTTTTATAGATACTATATAAAATATTCACATTGGTTAAATAAACCTATTGAAGCTTCAAGGGGGATATTAGATCAAATAAAGCAACCATTGGGAGTTGGCAAATACATATGTATGTACGTACATATGCATATATGTATTTATATTTGCCTACTAGAAATATATCAGAAAGTCTATTTGTTTGGGTCGCGACCATCACGAGACTCATTTGGCATCCACATTCGTGTATGTGTGTGCGTGCGTGCGTGTGTGTGTGTGTGTGTGTGTGTGTGTGTGACTGCGTATTTATAGCAACAATACATAATTATAGAAAATCATTCGAACGACGGCGACGCGCAGAGCAAATAAGGTGCAAAGCAGAAACAGAATGCCACGCGGAAGCCAGTGAGCATGCGAGAGAGAGAGAGAGAAAGAGAGAGAGAGAGAGAAGGAGCGCACACACATTCAGCGTGCAGATCGTGCGAGCAAGTGAATGAGAGAGCGAGAGCGAGCATTCGTCTAACTTGCGCGTGCGCTATGTGTCAAGTGTGAAGAAAATGCCGCAACAGCAACAACAACTACGAAAACAACAACAACAGCAACAACAACAACAAGCGCAAGCAACTTTCGGCAAGGGAAGGAAGAACAAGAATAAAAGCAACAACAAGCATTACGCTTACGGCAATTGTTATGAAATCATTACAAAACAAACGTTGCTAATTTAATGAAAATAAATAAAAGCGCCTGTCAAAAGTTAAGCAATGACAAGTTGGAACTGAAAGAAAGCCAAAGCAAAACCGAATTCACCTTTAAGATTGATACACACTGTGCACCTTGCTTGTGGAATTTTCCAACAGAAAATGGAAAAAAAAAACAAAAACAAAAACAAAATCACACAAAACTTATTTTTTTCGTTATTTTCGTTTGGGATGGATATATATTTATTATTTGTAAATTTTTGTTTGTTCGCAGTTTAAAGTTTTGTTGCTGGGCTGGGGCTTAATTCGTTGAGCTGTAATATTAACTTTATATATATTTAAGATTCGTTGAATTGACGCGGCAAAAATATACACGCCGGGCCATGCGATTTGAGCGCAATTCGAGCTTGTTTTCTATGCGTATCTCCGCTGTGCGATGATAGCGCCTCGATATACAAAGGGAAACTACCCAGAAGCGATTTGAATGTTTTTTTCGTCTTTGTTTAAATATTTTTTATTGTTGCTCTGTGGATTTGCCCATCCCCCGCGCATTGACAGAGTGAGTGAACGGATCGTGTGTGATTTTCTTCGTTTTTCTATTTATTATTTCTAGTGGCTCTTTCTGAGACATTTGCCATTTGTCGATTGCTGCCAATGCAACCGAACGCCCAAGCCAGCCAAGCCAAACCACCCACCCACCCAGCCAGAGGCGCAAACGCAGTGTCAACAGCCTCAAACAAAAATTGATTAAAAATTGAACAGACCGACGACCGACAGACCGCAGAGAGAGCGCCCTTCGACCAAGCATTTCAATGAGCCAATAAAAATGCCTCCCTCTCTCTCTCGCTCTCTGTATGTTTTTTGAGGCAAACCTGTTGCCCTGCTTCATACATAAGTGATTGTTGATTCGTTTATGCGTGTCTTTGTGTATGTTGTTGTTTATGGCTAGACCTAGAAGACACACACACACACACAAATACATTTATACGTTGAGTTTGTTTCGTCACCGTTGATAAGCCCAAATCACAAATATAAGCACAAAGGTCATCCACTAAGGCCTAGGCGATACGAGATCATTTCTCACAGCTGTGAGAGCTGTCCGTTAACAGCTATCAGTGTCACATTCAACAGCGACATGACAGACAGTCACTTTCATTACAATGCAATACGGCACAGTGTTGCCACATGCACGAAATTACCAAAATGCCAGTGGCAGAACAAAATAAACGTTGCTAACACTTATGGCACTTTTTAAGCACGAATTCGAATTCCGTTAAAGCTCTGAAACATTTATCATCTGAGTGGAAATGTGTGTGCCTATGCAAACACAAACATGTTTGACGTTCGCCGCTTGACTTTGAACTTGCAATAGGTGCCATACACGTTACGGCCAGTCCGTCGTCAGGCAGCCAACGTTCAAGCAAAATTTCCATAACATCAAAAAGATATGTATGCGTGTGTATTTATGTATGCACAAAACTATTTTTTTGGTAGTCGTTTCGTTAAACCAGCCTTAGCTGAAATCCAAGGCCTACGAATTGTGTTTAACTCGTTATCAAAAATACACACACACACACAGTTTCAAAGGGCGCCAGCGTGCGTGAGCGAGAGAGACAGAGAATTTGTCTGTCTATTAATATACGCGCACGCACGCAGTACAATACAACAACAAGCGGCAAACCAGGTGCAACACACATTAAACCGATCTGCTTTACTTTGCCTAAGAGTCCCTCCCCCTCCCCCACCACCCCCATCACACGAATGACACAACACATTCGCTATAATCTTGGCAACGTGGTTGGCGATCATATGCTCTGCGACAAAGGCGACGAAGGCATTTTTTTTTTAGTGTATTGTATAATCGTGAAAATGTGTGATATTTTGATTTCGTTTTTCTTCTTTCGCCCCCCTCTGGCAACACTGACAGCATTTGTTGGGGTCTGTAAGGCGCTCTTGTTTCTAGCTTATCAGGAGCATTATAAAACGATTGTTTGAATGGCGTAGTGAAAGCCGTCAAACAACAAACCAAAATAATACGCACACAAATTTCAATTTGAACATAATTCTATAGAAAGCGTAACAAAATCATTTCATTTAAAATGACTCAGTCACAAGCAGAATTTTACATACATTTACGTACATACATATATTTTCAAACTTATGTACATATGTATGTACATGCATATGCATACCACAAATGTCTTGTACATAGATATATACATACATATAAATGTGCATGCGGCAAGCAGACAGCTAAACATTTGCATTGTGTAATCGCATAAAGAAAATCATAAAAAGAAATAAGGTCCAAGACGTTTAGCACATTGATCCTGCGACTACGGCTGCACGCACACACACACACATACACATACGTAGATAAGTTGACAGGCGGTATAAATTTTACGCCGCATGTGTTAGCTAGCGACAGCTAAAACAACAACAAGGTGTTGCCACCTATTGATTATGTTGCGCATTTTTTGCACTCTCACACAAACAGATACATTTGTAAAAAAAAAACAAAAAAAAAGGATAAAAGAAATGGTAGAAATACGTTTTTTTTTGTTTTAATTATTACGCATCACTTTACAACAAATTACGTTTGCATGAAACATGCAAGCAATATGACACCATTTTTCTTGCTTCACGTACGCTGTGCGCTCTGCGAGTGTTTTGGCAAATGTTTTGTAGTAGGTTATGTTCCGCGTGGTCAAAATTGCGCTTACCTTTTAAAACCAGCGGGGTAACTAATATGTTTTGAATGGCTTTTAAATAAGCTAAGGTGAATTATATTGTTTTTATTATTTTCACTTTTTTTATTTGACTTAGATCAACACAAATTTTGAGCGTATTAAAGCAGCACAAATTAAACACGTGTCTACGTCTACCTTTTACATATCATAACATGGCCGGCGTATGCAGTGTTGCCATCATTGTGCACACGAGCCGATAAACAAAAAAAAAAAACACACTTTCGATCAGTTGTGCACTATTTTTTGAAGTGTATTATTTTTACAAACAAATCACTTTATTACAGTATAACATATGGTATTCTAATGCAATTGTTTGCACAAATTGCTAATACGCGTCTGAATACAGTTAATCGGGCTAAATGACAACACATGCAGGAACAGTGCTGTATTAAGTAGCAATCGAGGCAATCGATAAATATAACGTCAACTTTAAATGCCGAATTTATCTTATCTACGTCAAGCAATCATTTGGATCAGATAAAAGTGATTTTTCTATTCATTTTAAGTATAAACCATCCGGAATAAACGTCAAGAATTGTGAAAATAAAATAGGTAAATAAAAAACATTTGTTATTTTCAAATATACTTTACGATATATTTAAAGCAACACTAATATGGCAGCTTATGTATCAGCGCTGCCACCTTTTGCCAAATTAATCGTTCACTTTTGTATTATATGTTTTTGCAAAGGTCGTGTTTGAACAGCCGATTAAATGACCAAACGATAAATAATCACTTAACATTTTATGAGTCATATGATTATAGCATCAAGCAAATCGTAACGTATGAATAAGGCCAGAACTGTGAACTCTGGCAACCCTACGCTTATGTCAAAGCTTATACGGTTTCCTGTTTGCTTGCTTTGACAGCGCTCTTTCTACCATTTGACAGCAACTGAGGTAGGTCGGCCGCGAATAAGTTGTGTAAAAATTCCAAAATTATTGCAAACATCATAGTGTTGTATGTGCAAAATATGTGTGCAATAGCAAGTTAAAATACTATTGTTAAATTTAGAACAATTGTTGATTGTCAACAGCCAACGATACTTATAAAAACGGTGTTTACAAATTTTGTTTGTTTTTTTCAGTGACAATGGCAGTCCGATACGAGCTGTGTATTGGTCTTAACCGAGGCCACAAGACCACAAAAGTCAAGAATGTTAAGTATACCGGCGACAAGAAGGTCAAGGGTCTGCGTGGCTCCCGTTTGAAGAACGTGAGTAAAACAATTGAAAATTTCGGTAGAACATTTGTTTACATATTCTGGAATTGTTTAACAGATTCAAACCCGTCACACAAAATTCACCCGCGATCTGGTCCGTGAGGTGGTTGGACACGCGCCCTACGAGAAGCGCACCATGGAATTGCTGAAGGTGTCCAAGGATAAGCGTGCCCTCAAGTTCCTGAAGCGTCGCTTGGGCACACACATCCGTGCCAAGAGGAAGCGTGAGGAACTGTCCAACATTCTCACTCAGCTGAGGAAGGCTCAGACTCATGCCAAGTAAAACGTTGGCAGCCAACAACAGAAAGCAGCAGCAGCAGATTCAACAACAACAGAAACTGTGTTTTTTTTTCCTTTTACGCGGTGTTTTTTTTTGTAACTGTCAACTGCATTCGCAAGGAAGTGTTAAAAAGAAACAAAATTGAAACTACTTGAATAGTCGATGAAGCCACAATTAAAAAAAAACCAATTATTACAATAACTACTGCGCATGTGTTTATTTTTTTCGAGTGCACTAAATCGAACTTTACTTTGTTTGCTGCAACATAACCTCACTAAAAAGCTTTTTCATCGTTCCTTTTTTCCGGTTGGCTTCGTGCAGATGCAGATATATTCTTACGGTTTGGGTCGTCGGGGCCAAACCGTAGACTGGTACGCTGCGCGAGCAGAGCTCTTAGTTTGCAGGAAATAATATGTAAATTTCTGTAAGAGCCCCTCATATTCATACCCTTGTAGAGAGTATTATAATTTGTTCGTGAAGTGTGTCAAGCATCGAAAGATGCCGAATTGATATAGAACTAGTCTCTCTCGCCTGAAAACCTTGCGTAGGTACGTCTGTCTGTTGCAGGCATAACATATGTATGTCCACTTTATCATATAGTTGCCATAGGAACGATCAGCCGAAAATGAGGTTTTTGTATGAACAACTCTGATTTATCAAGATATCTTGACCAAACCCGACATTCACTACTCCAACTATGCTGCTTAAATTCGATTAGAATCTCACCAAGATCGCACTACTATATTTTATGGGAAGTATCAGTCGAAAAAGTGTGCCGCAGATAGACGTACTTGCTTCAATATGATAGATCCGACTTCTTGTCCTAGGTAGTATATACGACGGCATATGCTTTTGGATTTTAGTATAAAAATCTTGAAACTATCTTGGCTAAATCCACTTAAAATTGATTTGGAATCCTAGATTTAGCCAAATAATTACGAAAATCGTATATGATATAGTATCAAAAGATCAAATGCCAGAAGTGAACTGCAATATTGGCATCTGCTGCCAATTATGGTTGGATAAAAAAAAACAGGATATAATTATTACACTGTGGGAAACGTTTTCTGGATTAACTTTGGTGCTGGGCTTCAATATGGAATACAAATATATACTAAAGCCCATGGGAACGAGGCGGGGTATATAGAGCTTACCGGGTCGAGTAAGCTGCCTTTGGCTTGTTATGTTGTGATGTGCATGGTTTGGTTTATTAATAATGCTTGTCGAGCTCTTAACTTTTGTACTTAATACTAATTAAATGTGATTTATAAGTTTGCAATACATAAAAGGTTTTAAATGCCAATATGCTATATATATATGTATATATATATATATATGTATGTATGTATGAAAAAGAGAATCAGTGGTTGTTCCTGCTCCTGATGCCGCCAGCCTCTGGAGCACAGTGGGCAATCGTTAAATTTGCGGTTACGTGGAAGCGTATACGCATGGTGCACGGAAGGCAAAGGAAGGATGCTTAAAACTATGAGTACTCGGTGGTGCATTTGTGGAAGGAGCAGCACCATTTGTGAACACAGCCGTTTGTGTGTCGCATAAACATTGATGAGTGTTTTCGAGTGCATCGGTTTTTGGGCTAAATTTAGAACTCTTCGTCGTTGAGGCTGGGCAGCGAGATGGTCACCTCGCCCACCAGATGCGCCTCGTTGGCATCGTTGGAGACGATAATACGCTCGAAATTGGTGCCAATCGGATTCACAATCTCGTAGCAGCTGCTCTCCAGTGCGATGTTCAAATCAGTCTCCTGCTTGATATGGGGCGCAAGGATCTGCTGTGTTACCTCGAGGCTCTCGATGCGCGTCATCTCCAGCCGATAGAAGCCGTTCTCGTCTATGCGATAGGAGAAGCGCTTGTGGCCCGAGGGTAAACGGAAGCCATGCTTTTTGATTAGATGAACCGATAGCGATTTGCCCGTCTTAAAGAAGCGCTCACAGCAGTGGCATGCATAGAATATCGGATTGTTGCCGTGCACCTCTAGAAAGTGCTGAAATCGAACAGAGATGAGATTGGATTTAAATCGTGTCAATTCGATTGATCTACAAATGTCTTACGCGACGCATTTGGGTATAGGTGCGCACAGAGTATTGACAGCCGGGTTGATCGCATTGATGCACCATTTTTGAATGGACAATCTGGACATGCTTGGCCAGATCCGATTCGCGTACACAGCGTGTATCACATTCGGTGCACTTGTAGGGCTTATCCTTTAAATGGCGATAGCGTACGTGTGTCGTCAGCGAGCTGGCCGAACTGCAGGTCATGTCGCACATGCTGCACTTGTAGCAATTGACATGGCGGACCACATGACCGCGCAACAGCTTCTCGGTGGCAAAGAATTTGAAACACTGCGCGCATTGGAACTTTTGCGCTAAAGTGGAAGCGAGAAAGAGAGAGAGAGAGAGAGAGAGAGAGAGATAATTCGATATGCATGCAAAATGAAACTTCCCAATCCCGACAACTCACTATTGTTGTCCGGCTGGCGGCGCAGATGATCGAACAGCGTTGTCTTGGTGCGGAACAGCTCGCCGCAGTGGTAGCAGGCGACATGTTTCTTGTTCGAGTGTGTGCTTATGTGTTCGATGAGGCGATATTTGTTCTCCAGCAACTTGTTGCATAGCGTCCAGTTGCACTGCGTCTTGGGGCGCTCATCGTCTGGTGATTTTTGTATCTCGTACTCGAACGATGCATGCTGCACTATGTGATCCTGGAACTCGACAATGGAGACGAATGACCGATTGCAATCACTCCAGCCGCAATGAAAGTTCTGTTTAAGCTCCGGCAGCTTATCGCCACTGCGCGGGGGCGCATAGCAGGCGGGTATCTCCGGATGCTTCTCGCACTCCTGCTTGCCCTGGAGCAGCAGATTAATGTAGTAGCCATGATAGTAGCTGTGCCGTTCGAACTCTTGGCGACAATTCGTTTGGAAGATGCAATCGTTCCACACGCAGACACATTTGCGCTTTCCCTGCTGGTGCTCCTTCAGATGGTCTGCAATGTGGCTATTGAGCAGCCACTCGCCTTCGCAGATTACTTGGCAATCTTGCCAAGCACAGGGCAACTGCATGTCTGCGGATTTTTTCCGCTTACTCGACGGCTGTTGTCTCATCATTTCGTGTATGTATGTGTGTGTGGGCGTGCGCAGGCTTGGATTTGGTTTGGTCGCGGATGCTGGTCAATAAATTGCAATTCCCGAGCAAAGAAAAACGCTATCGCAATGGTATCGCTATAGTGATGGCCATTTTCAAAGTGCACTCGTATCGATTTGTTTAATCAGTGTATATCGATAGGTGCAGTCCATATACCATTCAACTTACGCATCGCTATTATCAGAAGTGCTGCCAATTTAGCCAATTTACGATCAGTTTCGATCTTTCCTTTCTTTGCTTAATCACTGCGCTATTTAGTTGTTCTTAATGATTTTAAGCCAGTTAAATGAATTGCATGTTAGTTACACATGCAGATAAAATTAAAATATCAATGAATATCGTAACTTACGTGTCAATCTCTTTACACGACAATCCTTGCAAGAATACGTTACATTTCATTTCATAAAATTGTGTGATATTTTTACACGGTGCCATATAAATAGTTGGCACAAATTGAGGATACCCCGCAAACGAACATGGAATTTGATGATAAAATCAATCTCTTGGCTCAATATTTTGTTGATAACCTTATTAAACATTGTTTACATCAATTTTTAGCTATTTCAAATCTTCATGCCAGTTATTGCTGATCCACGATAGTTCCTGCCCAACTACAATCGATAACGAACTTGCATACTAATTATCGATAACTTTACTTTTGTACAAACAGCATTTTCCCTCCAATTTTAATGATTTCAATAATTCATTTTTTTTTTGTTTTTCTTAATATACAATTGTTTTTTATATTTATATTATACAATATGATATCTATGTTAATTGCGCCTAGAGCAAATGCACACCTCGCATTCCGAATTTCCCCACAATATGCTGGTTCAAATATTGTACTTAGTTAGGGGCTAAAAAATATGTATGTGTTTTTTTGTTAACTGGTAAACGAAGTTACCTTGGGCTTAAAGTCCTGGCATAACATAGGCAATGTTGTCCAACGTTGTTGCCAGATTCGTGCTCAGCTGTTTCTTATTCTCTAGCCCGGGTATTTGTGTTGTCATACAGAGCAACGGTCCCATCGAGCAGAGCAGACTGTCCAGCAGCACAGACAGGCTGCCTGAGAGGGCCACATGACCGTTATGCTCCTTAAGTCGTTCCCCAATAACCGTCAGACTTTCGCCGAGCAGCTTTAGGTGGGCGGCCGCGTCGATTGCCTCAATGCTCGACTGTTGTGTCACAGCTTTTCCGCTCAGTTCCATGTCTACCGACCCACTGCCATGTCTTGCGGCGGGCACAGTGGATGGGCCCGTCTGGCTGCCAGCTATGGGGCTCGCCTTACCGCGACCGTTGCTGTTGCGTTTCTGTCTGCTCTGTGCCCAGGTGGACGGTGTCGATGTGTTGGCCCCCAGCTGGTCGGGCACCTGACGCCGATCGGCAGCCAATTTCTTGGTGCGGCTAGTCGTGGCCCGATTAACGAAGCACGCGTCAGTCGTGTTTGCCGCAGCAGCAGCAGCAGCAGAATTGGCATTGATTGTCTTTGGGGGCGTCAAAGTAGTGGCCACTTCTGCCGGAGCATTTTTATCGCGGGCGCGCGCTTTTGTCGCCAGCACCTTGGCTTTGCGTCGCCAGGCATTCTTTTCCTTGTGCGAAACGTTTGCCCACAGTTCGCTGAAGCGTCGAGCCGCATTGGCGAAATCTAAGCCAAAGGGTTAGGGTTAGGGATTAAAATAAGTATGTGAAAGTAGGTTTGATTTTTTTCTTTGTTGATTGCTCACCCAGATCCGGAAAATCACGTTTACGCACCTCACGTGCCCACAGGCTGTAGGCCGTGTAGCGCACTCTGACCTTGTCTTTTCTCTGTAGCTTGTTATCCTTAAGGATTTTGCGCTTATTGGACTTTTCGCGCATGTAGAGACTCTGTCGTACACGGGAATCGTTTGTGTAGGAGGCCTCCGCCTCAACGCCCTCAACCAGATCCTGCACCAATGTGTCCACCTCATCGTCGGAATTCATTAGGACGGCGGCGCCACCAATGTGCGCCGATGTTTCCTCCTCATCGGAGATACTGTTATTGGGTTCCAGATCATCTTCCTCATCTTCTTCGTAGGCCAGCGCCAGTTCCTGTTCACGTTCGCGTAGTGCATTGGGGGGTCGGCCTCGTCCCGGATATCTGGCTGGTTGCCTGCCAGGACGCTTGGCTCGCTTCTCAATTTCCTCGGGTGACTCGAAGTCCAATAGTTTTGATGATTTTTTGCGTACGCGTCCGCTTCTGGAAACGCCAGTCACCTGAAAATCTAAGCTTTCGATTAGCATCGGTTTTTTTTCGTTGTTCATTTTTCACAAAACGTACCCTTTGCCACAGGATTTGATATGGGTGATTCCATTGTTTTGATTCAATTGGTATCAATATTGTTAATTGTTGTAAGCGACGCGATGATAAATCATTAAACAGCTGTTCGCTGAAGATAGAAACGGTAACACTGGACGAAACCGATAGGCAGCGGACATGAATAAACGCATTTAGAAGGTTGCGCAGTAGTTGTTGACTTATCGTTTTACTTGGTGCATCGGTCATGCGTCATGAGTGTCAACTTATTCTCAATAGAATCCAAAAATAGAATCTACATTACTTTAGCTAACAAGCTTTAGCGGGTAAACTACTTAGGTGAACATGCTTTGTCCCTCTTTTGGGTTACACATTAATATTGAATTGCTTAGTAAATGCATTAATAAACTTTAATTGATCGATTGTTATGTTTATAATGAAACTTTGCTTTTTACGTTATAAACTTGAATTTGTTTTAATAAGTTGTATTTTAAATTTACAATCGAATTTGTGCTTCCTTATTCTACAGGGGAGACTTAGACACAGGTGACGTCATGCTAGCCTACCGATATAAATAAAACCTATCGTTAGCAGATGTGCGTCAAATTAGCGGCGCTGACATAGCGTCGATTTTTGGTACTTGGTATCGGAAAAGGAATCGGTCACTTTTAAATGCATTTATTTATGTTTTTAAGCACAAAACCAAATAAATTTAAATGCAGAATTGCAAAAAATTAAATTATTTACTGTCTACATTCATTTGTTTTCGAATTTTAGTTTATTATATGGGTATACCAAGGCGTTGAAAACTTAGGTTTCCACCATTCTCTATATATCTTAATTCAGGGATAATGGTCTCGAAAACCGCAACCACACGATTAAATAAAAGTAGGATGAAAACTATGTTGAAATATTGCCACCTTTTTGTTATCATACTGTGTATAAGTGCACAAATGCACTGTTGCCTTATTTAGAAGCAGTCTATATTTCCAAAGATAATGTTTTATTGTAAAATTATTTCATTTATTACTTCTTTTCTTTCACATATACAAATATTTTGAATTAATTTGTTCCCGCTCAATACTGTATAACATTATTCAACACTGATTCCAAGCAGTGGTTCGGTTCACGTTGGAGCTAGTAGCTCGATAGGCATTTTGAAAGAACACCATTAAGTGTGTTTACATTTTATTATATTTCTAAAAAACTGGCTGATCGATTTGTTTGGAATCAATGCGTAAGGCTTCCTAAAACATATATCTTCAAGTTGAGAAAAGATATTTGGGTTTAAGTGCAAGGCTAATTTTTTACGGTCATTTTGTATGGGGCTAGCAACGAGGTTGCTGCACTGTTGTACAAATATCTTAAAAACGAGCTGATCGATTTTTATAATTTTTTCAAAGTTGGTTAGGTGAAACTATAGGCTTTAATCGTGTACATGAGGTTTTCGAGGCCATTATTCCTGAATTAAGATATAGATAGTGAATGGTGGAAACCTAAGTTTTCAACGCCTTGGTATACCCATATAATAAACTAAAATTCGAAAACAAATGAATGTAGACAGTAAATAATTTAGTTTTTTGCAATTCTGCATTTAAATTTATTTGGTTTTGTGCTTAAAAACTATAAATAAATGCATTTAAAAGTGACCGATTCCTTTTCCGATACCAAGTACCAAAAATCGACGCTATGTCACCGCCGCTAATTTGACGCACATTGTGCATCCCTAGTTTTCATATTATTTTCGTTCATCAGTTTTTGTTTTGGCCGCATTCACACATATATGCACACATAAACACACACCATACACACGCATACACACACACATATACACACACACACACACACAGATCTCTAAGATTATAGAATGTTTGAAGATGCGCATGCGCGGCTGCAGATTGCTACCAATTGCCATATCGTTAATCGTATTCATCATTTTGGGCATCAGCTACATAACAAGTCCGCTGCGTGAGAGTGCCGCCCGCCGCAAAGTGGAACAGGATGAGTTTCTTGTCCATTTGCCAGTCAACAGCGACGAGGACAAGTCGACGGTGGTGAAGCAGCAGCAACAACAGCAGCAGCAGCAGCAGCAGCCAGCAGCTGGTCCCCTGCTGAATCTGAGCGATTTTGATTATCTGCTGGCCAGCAATGTGTGTCGCCGGGCTGAACGGGAGCTGCTGGGTGAGTCGTGCCACGCACAGCTATTGCTTGCCCAACTAATCCTGCAAAACGTTTAATCCCAATATTCAGCTGTGCTCATTGTCACTTCGTATGCGGGGCATGATGCACTGCGCGCCGCGCACCGTCAGGCGATTGCCCAGAGCAAGCTGGCCGAGATGGGGCTGCAGCGCGTCTTTCTTTTGGCCGCGCTGCCGGCACGTGAACGCTTCCTGACACAGGCGCAGCTGGTTAGCGAACAGACGCGCTTTGGTGACCTGCTGCAGGGTAACTTTGTGGAGGATTATCGCAATCTTAGCTACAAGCATGTGATGGGTCTGCGCTGGGCGGCCGGTGAATGCCGGCAGCGCGCCAAATTCATCATTAAGCTGGACGATGACATCATCTATGATGTATTCCATTTGCGACGCTATCTTGAGTCTCTGGAGCTGAGCCAGCCGGCGCTGGCCACCAGCAGCACCCTGCTGGCGGGCTTTGTGCTGGACGCCAAGCGGCCCATACGGCTGCAGGCGAGCAAATGGTTTGTGACACGACAGGAGTATCCGCACGCTCTCTATCCGGCCTATCTATCCGGCTGGATGTATATCACAAATGTGCCCACAGCCGCCAGGCTGGTGGCAAAGGCGCAAC